GTGAGGATACTAAATCGTTTGTAGACGACTTAATGTTTTGTCGGGGAGACGTAAGTGCTCGAGCAGCTTTCACACTGCGATGCATTGAATCCTATCCCTGCTTGACGCAATGATTTGAGGACATGTTCATCTATCATTTCCGTTATGGTACTGGGCTTCGGTCTGGTTAGAGCATCTATACCTATGTGTATACTGTGGATGGATTTTGCTGATTCTTATGCTGAAAAGTATGTTCACGAAATTCGCTGTCTCAGGCATTTCTATTGGATTTTGAACTACGCACCTTTCTATGGGAATTTTCCCATTCACATTCCCTTTCATAAATTTTGAGCGGAAATAACATATTTCTTTTTGTTACTTACCTAATCAGGCACTGTTGAATAATGTATAATATGTGCAAATATACGGAGGAATTCTTATGACGGTATTGGGTGTGAAATTCTGTGATAACGGTCAGACAAACTACAGGGAAAGCAGTAACCATGAATGTATTCATTGATCAGGAGCGAAAGTCAAAGTTTCTAAGACGATCAGGTTTTCTAACGAAGTGAGAAAAGCTTCTCACCCATTTAAAGCTTGACAATAGGTTGAGGATGATTTCTCCCCAATGCCTCTAATCATTCGCTTTACCGGATAAAACTGTTTATTTCTCAGAATGCCAGCTATCCTGAGGGAAACTTCGGAGGGAACCAGCTACTAGATAGTTCGATTAGTCTTTCGCCCCTATACTCACATTATACGATCGATTTGCATATCAGAATCGCTACGGTCCTCCACCAGAGTTTCCTCTGGCTTCAACCTTCACAATCATAGTTCACCATCTTTCGGGTCTCAACGTGTAGGCTCTTGCTCCGCCCCGACGGTGCACACAACACGAGGTCACATGTCTACGTCATGGGACAGTCCGGTGATATGACCGCTGCTCGCAACTTGGAAAGTATGAGCAAGACAACAGGATCTCACTTTAGTCCAGAAAAGCCGGTCAAAGCCAGTCAAGAAAATATTAACCACTGAAGCCTAGGGTGAATACCGCGAAGCCACGGTACATGCAATCCATCACGAAGCCAGGTGCACGCGTCAACTCGCTTGATTGGAGTAGTTCACATTCATTCATACCGGTGAATCGGCTACCACTACAATACTCGCGGTCTAAATGCATAGAACTAATGATTAGTTATGCTGCCTACGACGTTTACCATCAAGCCAGTGTACATGCAATACAGCACGAAGCCAGGTGCATGCGTCATTATATATTTTGGGTTCATGTTGATGATCCTTCCGCAGGTTCACCTACGGAAACCTTGTTGCGACGTTTACTTCCTCTAAATAGTCAAATCAGGTCATCTCAGCATCGGTCGAACGGCAAAGCCACTACAACGACGCCAATCCAACGACCTCACAAAACTATTCAATCGATAGTAGCGACGGGCGGTGTGTACAAAGGGCAGGGACGTAATCAGCGCGAGCTTATGACTTGCAACTACCTGTTATTGCTCAATTTCGTGCGACTTAAGTGTGCCGCTTGTCGCTCTAAGAAGTACAAAATGACATCGCACCAGCCGGATCACGACCACATTACTCCATAAAGAAGCAATAGAAGTCGCGCCCTAAACGAACACAGAAGACCAGTCTACTATTTAGCAGGTTAAAGTCTCGTTCGTTATCGGAAATAACCAGATATACCGCTCAACCAATAAGCAATTGTAATGCAGCACCGACCCGTCTGCCAGTATACCAATCCATCCTGTCATCACTTAAAACAAAGTTCTTATTCAATTTAGACCTAGGCTACAACTCAACACTCTACAACTGTGAGGAAAAACATACAAAACCCATTTTGTAAATATTTTCGATATTGTTTGTATTTATTGTGTAAATTTTGACAGTCTGTACATTTATCACAAAGTGATTGCACATGTTGTTTAGGTGTCTGACCTTGAACACTCACCCTTCCGTTTTTGACTCCCTCATAGCGTGACACACTGTTAATCGCTCGTAAATACACTATTGCACACACGCCTCTTGTTCTCAATTGCCTGTGGTTACAATAAGTAAACTATAAAGTATCTGTTATCTTCATTTATAGACAACGGCCTTTTCTCCATTATATACTACATCTGGCTATATCCCTGAAATTACAACAACCCTATCGTAATTAATTATTACCTTTAATTGTGGATTATGGTACCAAATGCAATTCCAACACGCTCATGCCTGGAGACTCACGTAACGTCCCATATCTTTTATTTGTGTTTATAACTTATAAATTGTATACTATAATATTAGGATTTGGATGTAATAAGTTTATTGCTATTTTTGAGTCAATATTATTATATTATTATTGCTACCAGAGAAAGAGAATTAGACTCGGCTGATCTCATAACATATCGATGACGTTTACACGTCTTCTTGGACTGGGACGCACGATTCGGTGGACAATGGCCTTCTTTATGTTCACGTCTGTTGTACATCTGACATTTATGCTTCTTAAATAGACAGAACCGTACATAATGCCAATCACCACATAACCAACATGCAGTCGTTGGTTTGATACCACTTGTATTCGGTTTTTGAACTTTTAACCTAGTAATAGCATTGAAACTACTACAGGTTAAATTAAGATTTGCCTGTTCAATTAACTGATTGCTGTGTCTGATGTGTTGTAGTCGTTTACACTCATCTGTCAATGTCCTGAGTTTAACGTTTGGGTCTTGATCCAGGCGAGTTAAAAGTCTAGTCCTAATCTCAGCATCTTGCGGTGACTGGAGAGCTTTAACGGATATTATACATTTAAATTGGTCTTCTGTCAATGAGTGTAACCTGAACCGTAACGTCCCATATCTTTTATTTGTATTTATAACTTATAAATTGTATACTATACTATGCTACAAATCACCGGGCCCAGATGACTTACCTCCGGCTCTTTTTGAAGATTGCGGCGACTTTCTGACCAAGAAATTGACTATGTTGTTTACAAGGGTTTGGGAGCAAGAAAGTATTCCAACATCATGGAATGAGTCGATAATCGTCCCTATCTTTAATAATAATAATAATAATAATAATAATATATTTCTGCAATAGAAGGCACACGCCATTTTTACAGGCATGATCTACAATTTACAACATATGCTGGTTCACAGTATGCATCCCAAGCAAGGTTGTTTAGTAATTATAGTCTATACAAGTTGATAGCAGTTCATTCGTTCACATATAATGTGTTTTCATAAGAATAGTTTCCAAAGGGCATAGCGTCCACGTTACATACCAGATCCACTCTCGACAAAAAAATGTATTACGGTCTCGGTCGTGCTAAGTATTTATGTAATGCAGCTTTTTAAGTTTATTGTTGTTATAAAGTAGGCTTGTGGAGCGCCTGGTTCGAGCTATGACCTTGGGAAAGCGCGTTCGTCGAGCTTGTTCCAGATGTCCGAAGTTACATAGCTTCACCCTCAGAGCAAGAATCTGAAGAGAAAAAATAGAGAAACCGAGGAGCAGCAAGACATTTGGATATGAACGATAACCAATGTTTAACATTTATTAGTGGAACAGATGGAGGTATGATAAATTATTAGAAGAAATTGATACTAGCTCATGTTGCGAGAGTGAACTGCGATTAGGGGCTCCAGAGGACAGAAGGCAGTAATATAGAACAATGAGTTGTGATATTTATCAAGGTGAATGCCAGAACCATGACCATAAACCGTGCTCCGGATTTTGGGGTACGGGGGTCGACACGATATCTAATTGTGGTATGAGCGTGAGGATACTAAATCGTTTGTAGACGACTTAATGTTTTGTCGGGGAGACGTAAGTGCTCGAGCAGCTTTCACACTGCGATGCATTGAATCCTATCCCTGCTTGACGCAATGATTTGAGGACATGTTCATCTATCATTTCCGTTATGGTACTGGGCTTCGGTCTGGTTAGAGCATCTATACCTATGTGTATACTGTGGATGGATTTTGCTGATTCTTATGCTGAAAAGTATGTTCACGAAATTCGCTGTCTCAGGCATTTCTATTGGATTTTGAACTACGCACCTTTCTATGGGAATTTTCCCATTCACATTCCCTTTCATAAATTTTGAGCGGAAATAACATATTTCTTTTTGTTACTTACCTAATCAGGCACTGTTGAATAATGTATAATATGTGCAAATATACGGAGGAATTCTTATGACGGTATTGGGTGTGAAATTCTGTGATAACGGTCAGACAAACTACAGGGAAAGCAGTAACCATGAATGTATTCATTGATCAGGAGCGAAAGTCAAAGTTTCTAAGACGATCAGGTTTTCTAACGAAGTGAGAAAAGCTTCTCACCCATTTAAAGCTTGACAATAGGTTGAGGATGATTTCTCCCCAATGCCTCTAATCATTCGCTTTACCGGATAAAACTGTTTATTTCTCAGAATGCCAGCTATCCTGAGGGAAACTTCGGAGGGAACCAGCTACTAGATAGTTCGATTAGTCTTTCGCCCCTATACTCACATTATACGATCGATTTGCATATCAGAATCGCTACGGTCCTCCACCAGAGTTTCCTCTGGCTTCAACCTTCACAATCATAGTTCACCATCTTTCGGGTCTCAACGTGTAGGCTCTTGCTCCGCCCCGACGGTGCACACAACACGAGGTCACATGTCTACGTCATGGGACAGTCCGGTGATATGACCGCTGCTCGCAACTTGGAAAGTATGAGCAAGACAACAGGATCTCACTTTAGTCCAGAAAAGCCGGTCAAAGCCAGTCAAGAAAATATTAACCACTGAAGCCTAGGGTGAATACCGCGAAGCCACGGTACATGCAATCCATCACGAAGCCAGGTGCACGCGTCAACTCGCTTGATTGGAGTAGTTCACATTCATTCATACCGGTGAATCGGCTACCACTACAATACTCGCGGTCTAAATGCATAGAACTAATGATTAGTTATGCTGCCTACGACGTTTACCATCAAGCCAGTGTACATGCAATACAGCCGTACATGCAATATAACCGTGCGCGAAATGTGAAAGTGGTAACATTTTTTCACGTGGTTTAGAAATTCTTGGACTTGTTCTTTTGTAGGCTGTATTGTCCTTAGATTATCATCCCTTCGCGTCTATCGCTCACACTTTGCTCTAGGTTAATAAATTTTAACCGACACTTGCGCAGTTAATAAAGATTTCACTGATCAGTACTTCCCTATATTATAACTGAGCACTTTTTATCTGTAATACGTTATATACTAATAGTCCCTGATCCTAGTATTAACCCGTTTAATACGTATAATTAATTATATTCTCATATATATCTGTTATACATGTTTTTAACTCATACAGCTTCAAAATATGTCAATTAACTTGGGTAAAAGAAATATTTCACCAGCTTTCAAGCCTACTAAAAGGTCAAAGTCCGTAACTCCTAAGACTGAAGACTCAGTACCTGAAAATGATAAGCATTTATCCTTTGAACCCCATTCTACCTACCCACAAGTGTCACTAACACTACCTGATCCTCTAAGTAACAACCCCTCTATTTCTTCGTGCAGTATGCCAACGGTAAGACTAGTTGACATAAAAAGCGAAATGCCCACGTGCATCAAAAAGTCAACACAGTCCACCAGACCGCATGCTTTGCTTAGGCCTAGGTCCAATATACCAAAAACCAAGGAGTCTAACAGTGTATCTCACGTATACGAGAATGCTGACATTCGTCAGTTACAAAACTCCCTAGCCGAAATTTACAGTAGACTTAACCAACTAGCACCCCTCACACACATATGGGGTATTAATACCGATAAAAATCTCGAACAACTCACTAAAGCTGAGTGTATTTTAGATTTTGTGGCTGAAGAAGTGCCGAAAAGAATGATGTCTTCCCACAATGCAGTAGTTTACAATCTCCCTGATCGCATACACCCAAATAAGTTGAGGGATATCTGCCTTAAAGCATGCGATATGCTGAAGGTCAACTGCCAAGTCATCCGCCTTAGAAGAAAGTCGGATAGATTGACTCGCCCTCTACTATTTAAGTTTGGCTGTTGTAACGATGCTAAACAATTTATCGATTTGAGCAAAAATATCAGCTCATTAGTTCCATACAAAAGCATTAAAGTCACTCCTGACCTAACACCGTGTCAACGTCGTATAAGAAGACGTGAAGCAATAGAATCGTATGACAGAGTGATAGTAAAAACCCAGCAAAAGACAGTATGCAACAAAATGATTGATATAAAGCGCATGGATAACAAGCATGATGTTATATCACAAACGACTAGTCCATCCGTAGATCTAGATGAGTCTGCAGATCAGAAATCTTTTAATAAGATACGGTCCCCATCTGTCACTAAAAGGCGTGACGGCATCTCTGATCCCGGGTGTTCGCTCAGTATAATACCAAAATGTGCGCCATGTAACGAAACACATCCAACTAAACATATTCATGTAAAAATTGGTTCCCCAAGAGATACTCCACAAGGGGATTCGAATGAACCTAAGTTCATCTCACAGAGACAAAGAAACTCTTCATCTCTGACAAAAAAGACTGGGGAGATAAAATCCAAAATACGAAATAGGGGGACACGTAAGATTGAGGCCAACTGTTCTGTGGATATCCCAACAACAGTGAATAGGTTCTATCCGCTGATATCATGTAACTTTCCATCAACACCTCGCACAATGGGTAGTACGCTTGAGCGTAACAAACCTTTTTACACGCACACTCACAAAAACTATCAGAATACTGATCACTACACTCACCTTCTTAAGCCTAAAACCGTTAATAAACATGGTAATTACAGGTTCCTCACCCCACACCCTATGTACATTCCCCAGAATCACAATTGTAATTACTCTCAGAATGAGAACTTTCCAGTATCAACTCACCACATGAAGACGGCCTCCATATATAACAACGGTCGTAACCACTTCCAGTTACGAGCATCAGACCCCTCTCATGCTCGCACTAGCGCAAATAGTTATAACAGAGGCTACGAGCTTAACCATCAAAACTGTCTTGCATATAACAGTACACTTTACAGTCAACATGTACCAGATTTTTTCGGAATAAGGCCCCTAGTTGCGCCCCTGTTGAAGCACATAGCCCTAGTCATTTCAAACCAAGTGCGGAACATAAACTCGCTTCCCCCGTACAGTTCGCATCAGAAAGTACTCCCACCCTTTCCTCCTGGATAAACTCCCCAAGCAACTTCACTAGCTCATTTGATACATGCCCCAGTAACTCTAGCTATCAAAATACAGAGCTATTGAAAAACACTAAATCCATTACTTCAAACATACATCACTCACGCGAGGCTCATGACATCTTTAATCGAGATACTCTCACTCACTTTAACTTAGTAGGCCACTTGTTTAATATGTGTCTTATCAACGCTAGGTCGATCTGCAATAAAAAGACTGATTTAGCTCTGTTTGCTTCCATATATCAACCATCACTTATAATGATATCTGAAGCATGGACTAACAGTAATATTTCCGATCTAAGTATATCTCTTGATAACTACCTCCTATATAGAAGCGATAGATTGAAAGGACGAGGCGGAGGATGCCTTATTTATGCTCACTCTAGCTTAAACTCACTAATATGCGATATACCTGAACTAAACAAACTGAAGGACTCGGTGTGGATTGTTTTAAAGCCATCAAATTCTATTACCTTACTGTTCGGCTGTATCTACCAGCAACCTAACTTGGCAATAGGTGAAATAGCAGTATTATCAGAGGTATTCACACTAGCATCATCCCTTCCATTCACAGGCAAACTCATTTGTGGTGACTTCAACATGCCTGAAATTTCTTGGTTTCCAGTCAAAGCTCCGAAACGTTATGAATCATTTATTGAATGTCTAGAACTAGGACAGTGGACTCAATATGTTAGTAGCCCTACCAGACATCAAAATATCTTGGACTTAGTCTTTACCAGTGGCATCACCCCTAATACTGTGTATATTGGAAAAAAGTTTTCAGGTAGTGATCATAACACTGTCGTGTGTAGCCTTAATATAAAAAACACAAACGGTAGACGTAAAAATGTAACCCTTCGTAGAAACTATCGCAAGGTAGATTGGAATAATTTTCACAATTACCTAAGAAGCACTGACTGGGGAACATTCTTTACTGCAAACAATACCGACACACTAACCAATATATTTTATCACAACATCGAAAGTATCATGAACAAAATCGCACCTTTAGAGTACTGGAGGCCTAAGTTTTCCAAAGATGTGTTTATACCGGTCGGTACACGAAGACGTCTGCAGAGACATTGTACTCGCTTCCACAACTCTAATGACTTCTCCTCTTTAGTAACGATGACAGAAATACTTGTCCAGACAAACACAATAAGTACACAAAAAGCAATCGAACAGGAAAAACGTGCTGTCGAACTTAGTAATAACTCCTCAGCACTCACCACACCCTTTCAAAATAAACTTAAACGTTCTAAGTCGAGAGGAAACATATTTATTAAAGACAAACAAGTATACGAAGATCCTAAACTTGTTACGGAACTATTTAATGAACACTTTTGTTCCTCATTGACTGATGAAAAACCACTTAATGATTTAGAACTTATCACAGCACCTGCCTGTGAGATTTCTAACGTAGACTTCAATGTACAGAATATCTCTAAGGCTATTAGTACAGCACGAAGCCAGGTGCATGCGTCATTATATATTTTGGGTTCATGTTGATGATCCTTCCGCAGGTTCACCTACGGAAACCTTGTTGCGACGTTTACTTCCTCTAAATAGTCAAATCAGGTCATCTCAGCATCGGTCGAACGGCAAAGCCACTACAACGACGCCAATCCAACGACCTCACAAAACTATTCAATCGATAGTAGCGACGGGCGGTGTGTACAAAGGGCAGGGACGTAATCAGCGCAAGCTTATGACTTGCAACTACCTGTTATTGCTCAATTTCGTGCGACTTAAGTGTGCCGCTTGTCGCTCTAAGAAGTACAAAATGACATCGCACCAGCCGGATCACGACCACATTACTCCATAAAGAAGCAATAGAAGTCGCGCCCTAAACGAACACAGAAGACCAGTCTACTATTTAGCAGGTTAAAGTCTCGTTCGTTATCGGAAATAACCAGATATACCGCTCAACCAATAAGCAATTGTAATGCAGCACCGACCCGTCTGCCAGTATACCAATCCATCCTGTCATCACTTAAAACAAAGTTCTTATTCAATTTAGACCTAGGCTACAACTCAACACTCTACAACTGTGAGGAAAAACATACAAAACCCATTTTGTAAATATTTTCGATATTGTTTGTATTTATTGTGTAAATTTTGACAGTCTGTACATTTATCACAAAGTGATTGCACATGTTGTTTAGGTGTCTGACCTTGAACACTCACCCTTCCGTTTTTGACTCCCTCATAGCGTGACACACTGTTAATCGCTCGTAAATACACTATTGCACACACGCCTCTTGTTCTCAATTGCCTGTGGTTACAATAAGTAAACTATAAAGTATCTGTTATCTTCATTTATAGACAACGGCCTTTTCTCCATTATATACTACATCTGGCTATATCCCTGAAATTACAACAACCCTATCGTAATTAATTATTACCTTTAATTGTGGATTATGGTACCAAATGCAATTCCAACACGCTCATGCCTGGAGACTCACGTAACGTCCCATATCTTTTATTTGTGTTTATAACTTATAAATTGTATACTATAATATTAGGATTTGGATGTAATAAGTTTATTGCTATTTTTGAGTCAATATTATTATATTATTATTGCTACCAGAGAAAGAGAATTAGACTCGGCTGATCTTATAACATATCGATGACGTTTACACGTCTTCTTGGACTGGGACGCACGATTCGGTGGACAATGGCCTTCTTTATGTTCACGTCTGTTGTACATCTGACATTTATGCTTCTTAAATAGACAGAACCGTACATAATGCCAATCACCACATAACCAACATGCAGTCGTTGGTTTGATACCACTTGTATTCGGTTTTTGAACTTTTAACCTAGTAATAGCATTGAAACTACTACAGGTTAAATTAAGATTTGCCTGTTCAATTAACTGATTGCTGTGTCTGATGTGTTGTAGTCGTTTACACTCATCTGTCAATGTCCTGAGTTTAACGTTTGGGTCTTGATCCAGGCGAGTTAAAAGTCTAGTCCTAATCTCAGCATCTTGCGGTGACTGGAGAGCTTTAACGGATATTATACATTTAAATTGGTCTTCTGTCAATGAGTGTAACCTGAACCGTAACGTCCCATATCTTTTATTTGTATTTATAACTTATAAATTGTATACTATACTATACTACAAATCACCGGGCCCAGATGACTTACCTCCGGCTCTTTTTGAAGATTGCGGCGACTTTCTGACCAAGAAATTGACTATGTTGTTTACAAGGGTTTGGGAGCAAGAAAGTATTCCAACATCATGGAATGAGTCGATAATCGTCCCTATCTTTAATAATAATAATAATAATAATAATAATAATATATTTCTGCAATAGAAGGCACACGCCATTTTTACAGGCATGATCTACAATTTGCAACATATGCTGGTTCACAGTATGCATCCCAAGCAAGGTTGTTTAGTAATTATAGTCTATACAAGTTGATAGCAGTTCATTCGTTCACATATAATGTGTTTTCATAAGAATAGTTTCCAAAGGGCATAGCGTCCACGTTACATACCAGATCCACTCTCGACAAAAAAATGTATTACGGTCTCGGTCGTGCTAAGTATTTATGTAATGCAGCTTTTTAAGTTTATTGTTGTTATAAAGTAGGCTTGTGGAGCGCCTGGTTCGAGCTATGACCTTGGGAAAGCGCGTTCGTCGAGCTTGTTCCAGATGTCCGAAGTTACATAGCTTCACCCTCAGAGCAAGAATCTGAAGAGAAAAAATAGAGAAACCGAGGAGCAGCAAGACATTTGGATATGAACGATAACCAATGTTTAACATTTATTAGTGGAACAGATGGAGGTATGATAAATTATTAGAAGAAATTGATACTAGCTCATGTTGCGAGAGTGAACTGCGATTAGGGGCTCCAGAGGACAGAAGGCAGTAATATAGAACAATGAGTTGTGATATTTATCAAGGTGAATGCCAGAACCATGACCATAAACCGTGCTCCGGATTTTGGGGTACGGGGGTCGACACGATATCTAATTGTGGTATGAGCGTGAGGATACTAAATCGTTTGTAGACGACTTAATGTTTTGTCGGGGAGACGTAAGTGCTCGAGCAGCTTTCACACTGCGATGCATTGAATCCTATCCCTGCTTGACGCAATGATTTGAGGACATGTTCATCTATCATTTCCGTTATGGTACTGGGCTTCGGTCTGGTTAGAGCATCTATACCTATGTGTATACTGTGGATGGATTTTGTTGATTCTTATGCTGAAAAGTATGTTCACGAAATTCGCTGTCTCAGGCATTTCTATTGGATTTTGAACTACGCACCTTTCTATGGGAATTTTCCCATTCACATTCCCTTTCATAAATTTTAAGCGGAAATAACATATTTCTTTTTGTTACTTACCTAATCAGGCACTGTTGAATAATGTATAATATGTGCAAATATACGGAGGAATTCTTATGACGGTATTGGGTGTGAAATTCTGTGATAACGGTCAGACAAACTACAGGGAAAGCAGTAACCATGAATGTATTCATTGATCAGGAGCGAAAGTCAAAGTTTCTAAGACGATCAGGTTTTCTAACGAAGTGAGAAAAGCTTCTCACCCATTTAAAGCTTGACAATAGGTTGAGGATGATTTCTCCCCAATGCCTCTAATCATTCGCTTTACCGGATAAAACTGTTTATTTCTCAGAATGCCAGCTATCCTGAGGGAAACTTCGGAGGGAACCAGCTACTAGATAGTTCGATTAGTCTTTCGCCCCTATACTCACATTATACGATCGATTTGCATATCAGAATCGCTACGGTCCTCCACCAGAGTTTCCTCTGGCTTCAACCTTCACAATCATAGTTCACCATCTTTCGGGTCTCAACGTGTAGGCTCTTGCTCCGCCCCGACGGTGCACACAACACGAGGTCACATGTCTACGTCATGGGACAGTCCGGTGATATGACCGCTGCTCGCAACTTGGAAAGTATGAGCAAGACAACAGGATCTCACTTTAGTCCAGAAAAGCCGGTCAAAGCCAGTCAAGAAAATATTAACCACTGAAGCCTAGGGTGAATACCGCGAAGCCACGGTACATGCAATCCATCACGAAGCCAGGTGCACGCGTCAACTCGCTTGATTGGAGTAGTTCACATTCATTCATACCGGTGAATCGGCTACCACTACAATACTCGCGGTCTAAATGCATAGAACTAATGATTAGTTATGCTGCCTACGACGTTTACCATCAAGCCAGTGTACATGCAATACAGCCGTACATGCAATATAACCGTGCGCGAAATGTGAAAGTGGTAACATTTTTTCACGTGGTTTAGAAATTCTTGGACTTGTTCTTTTGTAGGCTGTATTGTCCTTAGATTATCATCCCTTCGCGTCTATCGCTCACACTTTGCTCTAGGTTAATAAATTTTAACCGACACTTGCGCAGTTAATAAAGATTTCACTGATCAGTACTTCCCTATATTATAACTGAGCACTTTTTATCTGTAATACGTTATATACTAATAGTCCCTGATCCTAGTATTAACCCGTTTAATACGTATAATTAATTATATTCTCATATATATCTGTTATACATGTTTTTAACTCATACAGCTTCAAAATATGTCAATTAACTTGGGTAAAAGAAATATTTCACCAGCTTTCAAGCCTACTAAAAGGTCAAAGTCCGTAACTCCTAAGACTGAAGACTCAGTACCTGAAAATGATAAGCATTTATCCTTTGAACCCCATTCTACCTACCCACAAGTGTCACTAACACTACCTGATCCTCTAAGTAACAACCCCTCTATTTCTTCGTGCAGTATGCCAACGGTAAGACTAGTTGACATAAAAAGCGAAATGCCCACGTGCATCAAAAAGTCAACACAGTCCACCAGACCGCATGCTTTGCTTAGGCCTAGGTCCAATATACCAAAAACCAAGGAGTCTAACAGTGTATCTCACGTATACGAGAATGCTGACATTCGTCAGTTACAAAACTCCCTAGCCGAAATTTACAGTAGACTTAACCAACTAGCACCCCTCACACACATATGGGGTATTAATACCGATAAAAATCTCGAACAACTCACTAAAGCTGAGTGTATTTTAGATTTTGTGGCTGAAGAAGTGCCGAAAAGAATGATGTCTTCCCACAATGCAGTAGTTTACAATCTCCCTGATCGCATACACCCAAATAAGTTGAGGGATATCTGC